CCACATCGTCTTGTCAAAGACAGTGAGGACATATAGCATCATAGTCATATCATCTCTCACCACGTTTTTAAAAAAAAAGGTAACAATCACAAGAGGCCATTCCATCATCACGTTCCAAGCACTAGTTCACTAATTAGTCAGGAAGCGATTAAAGAAATCAGAACACGATAAAGTTCTAAAAATGGGAAGAAAAAGAGGCTGGAACTAAGAAACAACAAAAGCAGACGGAATCGTTGCAAAAAGCAGGAGAGAACAAATCAGCAGTACATTCTGGAACAAAACAAATCACAAAACCTCTCGGACAATCAGATAAATCTAGGGTAAACAAGAATAAAAGGAAGACCAAGAAAAAAACACTGACCAGAGCTTTCAAAAATTGGGTTCACAAGAACTGTAGCAGATGTAGAATTTGGAGGTGAGGGATAAAAGGCCAGGAGGAAAGGAGAACAATACACTGGACCAGTTGTTGTTGTGGTTGTTGTGGTTGTTGTGGTTGTTGTTATCGATCCAGGACTTGACCAGAAGCTGCGCACAACCACAAGTGGAAATAAAGCTTTCAAATGTTAAAAACGTAGCAAACTCACCTCTGTAAGAACTAGTATCATTAGCCATAGCAGAGGCCACAAATCATTTTGTTCCTCATTTCTTTTATTTCTCTTTAGAAAATATTCTCTCTGCAGAAAAGCTGGTCGTCGTCAGACACTAACAGACATACTATCCATTGTTATTATTCTTAATTCGCCCACCATTGCTGATTGCTGACTGTTACCCCCACCCAGGAGGGTAAGGAAAGACTTTGAATGAAACTGTATCAGTGCCAATCATAATCAGATGAAAGTCGCAATGGACAATTTCAAACTAAAACACTCAAAAGAAAAAAAAAAAATTTCCAGTGGAGTTTTTTGTTCTTATCACAGTAAAGTTTGATGGTTTTGGTTATATTTCATACAAAAAATATACACAAGTTTACCCCGATGTATATTTTCCTTTATGATTTATTGCTGAAGCGTGCATGGTTTGATATAAACTTAGTGCTCTACTTAAGGGCCAGTATTCTCATTTTCATTATTCCGTCCGCACATTGCAGCATTTAAGTTTCCATATTGCCATCAAATAGTTTCTGTTGTGACTTCATTTTTCATTTCTTTTTTTTTATTTATAGCAAAAAAATGAGAGTTTCTGACAATAATTACAACTCAGTCTGTGGTATTTCTGACTTTTGTCCAAGTTTGATCGGCACTGACACAATAGTTTTGTACCCACTCCTCAACAGAATGAAATCGATTTAAGGTCTTAAAGCTTCCACCCTGCCTGTTCGAGCCAGCCCAAGCAGAGAAAGATAAAGCCATAAAAGTAGATAGACTGGGATGCTGAATAGAGTAATTCTCCTTCATAGTAATCGATTTAAGGAAGGCTAGAACTAGTACATAAAGAGCCAATATGGCCATGATGGTGTTCATCGTGTGAATTTGATGTAAAAAAGAGGTGAATGCTGATGGTGAGAGTCCAAGTGTCATATCCATAAACCTGTTCCGAGTATATGTACCATTTTTTCATCTTCTTTAACATATTATGAACTTTAACCAGATAGAATGGAAGGACCAATTAAAGCACATTTTCAACACAAACCGACTTTTGTACTGGCGAAGAAGGTGAGAAAAATAAATGCAATGAAAGGAGTAATGCAAGCTTTGCATTTTCACATCATTCATTCATCCTAACCTTCATGCACACAAAGTCACAACCATATGCAGCAGGGCTCTTCACACTCGCACCACACACCTGCATGGGAGCGCAACACTCTGATTAAGTTTGCCGCACAACCAGGAAATAAGTTATTAAACAGATCTTCACAGTGGTTTTATTTTTTTTAAAACAACCAATATTCTATCTTTTAACACAAGGGTGTCAAACTCAGTCACTCAGGGGCCCAAGTCGAGTTACACTTAAGGTCAAGAGCCGAACTGGATAAACACTCATTGAGCAGCGGAAAAAGACTTAACCTTTTAAAAAAACAAAGAAATGAATTAACACAGACAAAAGTGAAAATAAGAACAAATCAAGGCATGCCAATTTTTGCGCAGATACCACTTTGTCTGAGCTTGACGTTTGGCCTCTTTTCTTGGCAACGAGTCTCTTAATTTTGAAGTAAAGTTCTGTTCTGCTTTATGATTGAAGAATGAATATTCTCAGGACAGACCGCCTAAAATTCTCTTTTGGGCCAGATAAAATTGTTCGCCTGGCCAGAGGTGGCCCCTGGGCTTGAGTTTGACACCTGTGTTTTAAAATGAACACCTCGGGAACAGTGGTACCCAAAACCTCTTGAACATTCTATAGTAATCAAATAGTTTGTTACCACCATTTTTTTGTAAAAAGTCATTCCATTTATCATCACCTTTACAAAATGGTTGTACCTGTAACCTCTTCATTATTTGAACCCTTTTGTGCCAATAATTATGAGCACCTATTTATAATGTGTATAGAAAGGCAGCGATAATTTGGTACACGGTATGGAAAAGGTTATATCCTACTTCAAAATTCAGCAAGCGACAGACACAGTTTCGGGCCACTGTTCCCCTGAACCTTTTCTGGGAATTCTTGCAACGGAATGAAACGCACAGATATGAAATGCAGAGACCCAGGGCACAATAGAAAAGTGAAAAAAACTTAAAGGTCCCATAAATCAAATAACAAGTCCGTAACCAGAAAAAAATTATATTATGCGATCCAGGGAGAGAGAGACAGGAGAGGTGTACACAGCAGAAGGCACTTTGAAACGAGAGAGAGAGAGAGAGAGAGAGAGAGAGAGAGAGAGAGAGAGAGAGAGAGCGAAAGACAAGTGAAGTAATAAGACAAAAAGAAATTGTGCTTTCCTAATAAGAATACAGCTAACACATTTTTTCCAAAATGTACAGGCAGTCATTATAATATTAATCACGACATTTTATGGGTAACAACAAGAATAGATTAAAAGAGTAAGATCAGAGAATTTTCCATCAGAATTAATAATTGTACTCTGTTAAGTAAAAGCAAAAACACATTCAGCCTATCAGTGGACTTGCAGGGGAAGAATTCTGGAGACAATTTTCCGGTAATCTTTTACAGATAAAAGTCTTTGAACTTCCGTACTCTGATTTATATATATATATATACACATATACCATGGCAAAGATGCGTTCAAAAGCATCCAGCTTCCTGCATTGTTCCACAGAACTGCAGTAGCATTTAGAACAAAGTTCTTGTTGGGAAAAGCTAAAAGCTAATATTTCCATGAGAGTCTCTCCATTGTAACAACCAAAGACAGAAACGTGAGATTCAGCATTCTCGTGATCAGTTTTCTCATTTACAGTTTGGTTCATTTGAACAGAAATCAGGATTCATTTTTCGTGCACATCCGGGTACATGAACAAAGCAAATCTATTTTTATATGACTTTCGGGTCTCTTTATTTTTTCCCCTCCTTCTTTCACCTCAGATCAAAAGGATGAATAGACAAAAATGCAGTGGTTTTATGACACAGAACCTCTTGAAGACTTTTGATTTCTAAGATAAAATAATTTAAAAGAGAGGACTAGATGAATAAAAAGCTGGCTGCAGATACTTTAACACTTTGCAGTCACCCATCCAGCAGTACAAACTACCCCATCTGCTCACCCAGCCAGGAGAGTGACTGCAACGGACTTTTCGAGCCTGGTGCAGTTGAACTGCACCAGGTGACCAAAACGGATAATGTTCACCGGCGCACGCATTATTGCGCCACGTGACCACAAAGTGTTCAGGAAAAAGGAGAGCAAAACACAGGGATGCCACCGGGACTTTGTGAAAAATACCCGACAATTTACCGAGTTTGCCTTTTCAAACAAAAATACAGTTCAGTTTTAGTTTTAGTTTTCGTAGAGGTTTTACGGCACTCGCAACTGCATAAGGTCGTATGAGCACCAGAAGATTAGAGGTGTTACAAGAGAGTAACAAACATCAAAAAGAAGAAGGGGAGATAAGAACGGCAGATGTTTGACAGGAAGGAAGAAGCAAGCCACACCAGAGCACCCACCAACCACCCACAAAGACAGTTCATAGACACAACTAATAATATGTGGTTAAACAGAAAATGAAAGCTGAGAAGGATAACATTTACTCTACTGCAAATAACTGGGAGGAGGGAAAAAAAAAGGAGGAAAAACGGCATCCCTGCAATACGAAACCAAAGGGGCAAGCCAAACGCCACAACGCGACTAGAGAAGACACAGCTCTGAAAGGCCACCACAGAAAAAACACCAGAAAGGCCACACTTCTAGGTTGAAAAACCACACTACGACAGAAGCATGCGCAAGACGGCGCTTTAAGACAAAACCAGTCATCCGAGTACCGGAGAAACAAAGCACGAGCCAGCTCTTCCACTGGCTGGGAACCCTGTGGCTTATAACGTTGTCCGTGGTCAATGAAAATGAAGAGACAAAAAAAAAATTGAAGGACATTTGAACTTTCAAAATTTTTCTATTTTCTTCCCTAGACAGACTGGCATGAAATTGGCACTGGAGTTTCTTTCCTTAAAAGTAAATGTTTTTACAGTCACCACAATTTTGATCATTCAGGAGGTGAGACTCCCACCCTGCCTGTCAAGGTAAACTCTGGCTGAGACAGAGAGAACCATCCCAGCAGAGAGATCAAAATACGGAATAAAAATGTTCTCCCCTATTATGAATTGAACTCGGCTCTTCTGCCGGAGACAGTGAGATGCCCAACCACTAGGCCACAACACCGGTAACAGGAGAAGTTTCCTGCGACTCTCAAATGTGCAGGGTACAAAAACGATCTGCTTAAATATTCACATCACAACAACAAAGCCCCGATCTTTTCAGCCAAGAGAAGTACATTAACAGGATAATTCAGTGCTGGGGGGGGGGGGGGGGGGACAGACAGACAGACAGACAGACAGACAGACAGACAGACAGACAGACAGACAGACAGACAGACAGACAGACAGACAGACAGAAGCAACAGTGGGTAAGTAAAGAAGCAGGATCTACCAGTGGCAAACCCCGACCACTCACAAGCCCCTAACAAAGCAGAAGGTATCTTTAAGAATTAAAATAATTTCCATCATTCAAAAAACACAACTTGGTCAAAAACTCATTAACAGCATTGATGGAATCAGTTCACAAAGAAAAAAAAAAGGTTCTCCAATGGTAGATAAAGAAATGTCCAATTCGACTGTAGACAAGCAATAAGACAGCTGCACGGGGCAGAACAACATCCCAAACCCTTCAACAAAACAAGTTAGGAACATCTCAATGACTTCCTTTTCTCAGCATGGACAAGCAGCTACCTTTACCAACCTGTTTAAACGCTATGAAGGCAGTCCCGGGTTCTTCCTAAAAGACATTATTGCATTTCCCCAACACTCACTCCACATGACAGCAAGACTGAAAAGAACAAGGGCAGAGAGAGAGGTGCGCCGAGAGTAACTAGTAACGTATCCGGACTATTATCTTTCAAGAAAAGGGGATCTAAAACCACGACCCTCAATGTGCATTTCACAAAGGCTTATTTATACAAAGATTTTTTGTTGTTGTAAAGACCAATAGATCTATACAGAGGGAAAAATCTCATTCTCTTTCCAACAATTTGTGCTATATAGATAGAAAAAAATACACATGCTAAAATCTTCATAAATTGGCAGAGCAATTTCTAGTAATACTTTATATTTATATACCAAGAAATCTGACAGTGATGTAATGAGCAGGAAAAAATCCTAAGTTCAAAACGTTTTTGTTACACATCCATCACACTCTCTTGTGCTCTGGTGGCCTACAGCACGCGTCCTTCACATCACATCTACACACTTGTGCCTGAAGGAGTACACGCACGCTGTCGGCATGAATCTTGAGAGAAAGAAAAATCCTCCTACACGCCTTCGCTTTCCCACGGGAAGAAAAAAAAGTCTTTGGACATTGCTGCTGACCACAGATCTACATCACTTGGCACACAAAGTCAAGTGGAACAATCACAATAAATAAAAACCTTTTGCATGCAGGAGGGGTTGCAGGGGGGGAAGGAGACAAAAATTTAAGTCAGTCTCAGCTACTTTTAAGACACATCTCCTGCAGACACGAGGGCCCTACACACGTCTCATTTCTGCCAGGGTTTTCTGTCGATTCCTTTGCTCTTTGGGAAATGCTGCCACTTGCAATCACTGCCAAATGTGCAGCCGGTCGTCCTCCAGAAATAGCACTCATCTCCATTCACTGGACCTGTCTGCTTCGGTGCATTTCTCACATTGCTGCATGGAGGTGGGGGGGGGGGAGAAAAAGAAATGATTTCACCACAAGAAACGAAAGTTATGTCCACTTGGAAGAAAACATTCACAGCTTTCATAATGATAATAATAGTAAAAGATAGCATTTGTATAGCGCATACCCCCGCTTGACAGCAAGCTCTATGCACTTTAAAGTCATCAAACTAGTCGTGATACTGTATGCATACAGGGATATTCATAACAAGGAAAGCCACTCACCTTAAATAACAAAATATTTAACATAACATGGTTACGTTGAAGCAAGAAGGAACTTCTGAGAATGAACAATGACACATCATCAGCAAGCCGTTCAACTTTTCAAAGCCCAGAAAACAAAACTTTTCACAAGAGCGAAAAAAAACCCACAAAAAAACACTTTCATTCTTTTAAGAATTGTATCTACATAAGGTACTTTTTCTTGAGTATCTCAACCTTCAGAATTTAAATTTCCACAAAAATTAAGCTCATACAACAGATACCACAGATTAAGACGTGGCATCGGTGGCCTAGTGGTAAGGCTACCGGACTCCTAATCACGAGGTTACAGGTTAGAGGTTCGAGCCTCAGCTCGGTCCGGCTTCGTGTCCTTGGGAAAGGCACTTTACACAAATTTCCACCTTGGCTTGGTCCTTTTCAGAGATAAGGCATTAAACTCGGAGGTCCCGCCTCTTAGATAACGTAACAGTGCTGATAGGGGCGTTAGACCCAATACCATTTCATTTTCACAGATTAAGAAACTGCAATGAAAAATACTTTCAAAACTTTGGCCTTTGTATGTCAGGACAGCTGGCTGATGATGTCATCACTGTCGTTGGAGCAATGAGCAACTTCGATGTCAACTGCTCTGTGCAAGACTCCTCGTTCTAGTCAGAGTTTTACGGTACTTGCGACACAATAAGGTCAAATAAGAGCCGGAGGTTTAGAGGTGTTACAAGAGAGTAACAAACACAAAAAAGAAGGCGAGACGAGAACGACATAGGAAAGAGGTTTGATGCGAAAGAGGGAGCGAACCGCACCAGAGCACCCGCCAGCCACAAACTGTAAGACTCTACAATTAAAAATTATTTAAAGTTTTTGTTTTTTAAAATTATTTTTTAACTGTTTTACAGCGCTCACAACTGTCAATGACAGTGATGAATGATGGAGTCTCACAGTTAGCAGCCAATGGGTTTTCCCCACCCTGCAAAGCAGAGTCAATAAGGTTCCTTCATTTTTCTAACAACAGCGACAATATGAACGGGAAGACACATGACTCGTATTCCAGTATTTGCCTCACGGAAAGGCAACTTTACAAGTAATAATAGATAGAATTTGTATAGCTTAAATTTTTGTTCAACAGCAAGCTCAATGCGCTTCACAATCTATACTATTACCCCAGCAGACCTGACAGCATTCTGAAACAACCTCAACTTTCAGGAAAGCAAACAGCGCAAGCAGCCATTTATAGGTGCTAAAACACTAACATACTGACAAGATCTTTCGCTGTCTATGGCCGGGTACCCATTCCCACGTGGGTGAAGTGAGGAAAATTCGTGTAAAGTGCCTTCCCAAGGACACAACGTCGGGCCAGCGGCTAAAACCCCCAAACCTGCAACCTCATGATTACAAGTCCGGTGGTCTAACCACTACGCCACCGACGCCACAAGTACATACAAGTCTCTCTGACCCGTCCTTACATAAAACTCAGTTTAGTTTTAGTAAATGTTTTACGGCACTTGCAACACAATAAGGTCATATAAGTGCCGAAGATTAGAGGTGTTACAAGAGAGTAACAAACACAAAAAAAGAAGGGGAGGGGAGATAAGGAAGATGGTTGTTTGATAGGAAAGAAGGAGCAAACCACACCAGAGCACCCGCCAATCACCCACCATAAAACTCAAACAAGCGTTTTCAATACAAGAGCACTAAGGGAAGAAACAAGCATCTTTACTGCCAAAGTACTCAAACGCATATTTACACACACACATACAAAAACTCAAGACACATTACATACACACAAAATAAACACCACACTGAAGGGCAGATCCCATCCCCTGCTCTCCATTAGAATTCAGATCTATATTCGGTTGCTTTTAAGAACAAGCAGGCTTACACAGATTTTGGGTTTCCAGAGATCTTGACCTGCACCAAAAGTCGGCATTGCCCTACCTATAGGAGAAGTTTGGTTTCATTGCTGTGTATATTTGTTTGGTAAAAGAGAAAACTCTCCTTGTCTTTTAAAGAAACTGAACAAGGAACAAGAACTTTACCTTCGATTTTCTCACAACAGCATTTTTTGGGATAGACCCCTTGTGCTTAAAAGCAACCATTTACTGCTTCTGTTGCTAAAGACAGTCAGATAACCAGTAGACATAACAATAATAATAATAAATACTGCGCATTTCCATTTTCTAAAAGATGCTCAATGCGCATAGGGGGACATCAATGTCATCAAACAATAAAAACATTTCTTTTCCTTCAAATGTACACCGAGAGGGGGGAAAAAAAGACATTACGAGTATACATATCATCTGCCAGCTGTTTAGATGTACTGAGACCAAAATTTGGAAGCTTAATTTTTTTTTATTGCTGTTTCTAAATCTGTGGTACCAGTTGCACCAGCTCTAGAAATTTTGTCCAAAAGTTTTAGCTTTTGTTCTGAGTTTTACGGCACTTGCAACATAATAAGGTCATAAGGGTGCCGAAGATTAGACGTGTCACAAAAGAGTAACATACACAAAAGAGGAGGAGAGATAAGAACGACAGAGGTTTGATAGGAAAGAAGGCGCACCCGCTAACAACCCACTTTGTCAAAATGCAAATTCGAAATGTTGGGAAAAAGCAAAGAAAAGACATATATCAAGTAGGAACAGTTATTAAAAGAATGAAACAGTCTTTTCTCTCTCTAGAAAAATTTTTTATTTTTCTGTGCTTAAAAAACCAGAACAACTAGCCGATGAATATGCCTTAAGGGAAGACCCGGGTTGGCGATCCCAGGCAATATCGATAAAATTTTTCAAACTATCCACTTCTGTTTTTTGCGGAAAAACATCCTTTGACATCTGTTCTATCGGGTCACAATGAAGAAACTGTTGAAAAAACACCCTAAATGACCTAGAAGGGCGTTTGAAAAGTGCAAATTGCTCTAAAAATCCTTTTTAAAAAACCCTGTTTTTTCTGTTTTTCTCAAAATCTACTTTTTGACAAATGTGACCTCCTGGGTGCAAGGAGTTTTCAAAAACTACTGAAGCTACAAGCTTCAAATTTAGCGTGCAGATGCTTTAAGATCGATTCTGGGGATCTATGTAAGGGAATTGGGAAATATTGGTAACTTGAAAAAATAATCAAATTTTTTGTAATTATACCCCAAAATTTCGTCAACTGACTCTAGGGGGTCCAATGACTTTGGGCTCACTTTTTTTAGTTTTAAAGATAGATCAAAATCCTCACATTGATCCCCAGTTCATATAGGTTTGTACCTGTGTGCCAAATTTCAGGCTGATAATTCAATATTTACTATGAAATTCTTCTGCACTAAGAAACTGGTTTGAAAATCCAAGATGGCCGCCACAGAGACCCATTTTTCAGAACAATTCAACAAATTCATCCCTATTTACCTATGAACTTCTTACACAATTACATGAAAATGAATAAAAGTCATTTGTTTAGAAAATTTTTCCGGGAGTGTACGTCTCCCCTTAACAAAGTAAAAACAGCAGTGTAGGTACGTATGTACCAACGAAGTAAGAAAAACTGCAGAAGAGAAACTGTCCCTAACAGACAGGTTACATAGTAACAGTGGCATACAACATAACATGCAGTAACAATATATTTATATCCGATTCAATACAAGAAAATATCCGTGCTTTCAACTACACTTCACAACCCCAGAATAACATGCTTCTATTCTATATTCTACTAAATAGTTTGACTCTTCTTTTAACAGCAGGTGGTTTTTTTAACTGGATGCAAGTTTGTTTTTTGAACACTCCACATTGATCAGTAAGGAGGCAGACTGCAACCATACCTAACAGGGCTAATCCCACCTGAGACGGATGCAACATCTTAGAAGAAAAGCCAACGGATGCAACATCTTAGAAAAAAGCCAAGATAATCAATAAAAGTTGTGCCCACTTCAGAATGGAACTGGGGTCTCCTACGTAACGAGGCAAAATGCCTAACCTTACCACGACACCACAGAGACACAAGTATTTATTTCCAGAAGAAAAAAATACAAATCTTTAAGTGAGCTCTGTTAACTTTTCTTTTTTTTTAAACCCAAATTTGAAAAAGTGTTAAATGTTTAGTAGAATGGTGTCCAACTCAAAGCGATAAGAAAAATCTATTCTCGGTATAGCCTGGCGTTCAACTCAATAAAAAACAACGCCAAGAAAATCCAAAATTACGCAAAAAACACACAAAAAAACAATAACAACATGAACAACAAAACAGCTGGCCTTGTAAACAACACAGCAGACAAATGATTGCTTTCAAAAACAAGCAGGCAAACCCAGATTTTGGGGGTCTCCAGAAATCTTGACCTACACCAAAAGTGGGCATTGCCCTACCTATAGGAGGAGAAGTTTGGTTCCATTGGGGTGTGTATTTGTTTGGTTATAGAGAAAACTCTCCTTGTCTATTAGAGAAACTGAACAAGGGTCCCAAAACTTTACAGCACTTTTCAGGACAGCCCCTTGTGCTTAAAAGTGATCAAAAGGCCATGCTCTCAGCAACGGGGGTAAGAAAAGCTGTCAGCTGTCCCCTCCACATACAGGAGGCTTTTGTTGGAGAAAAGAGGTGCACACTGACACAATAACTTCCTCTAAGTGCTGGGGGAAAAGTAAGACAGACAGACAGACAGACAGACAGACAGACAGACAGACAGACAGACAGACAACTGAGGAATAGAAAAGGAGTGCAAGAACTTCAAGGGTGCACTTCAATACCTGAATACCAGGTCTTTTTAATGCACCCGACTTGAATTTGCGATTTTCACAATTTTTAAA